TTCCAATGTTTCAAAAATCGCCGCCATTTTCCTATATGTTGGCCCTGTATTTTATGATTGTTTTTAAATGGCGGCCATTTTTGAAACATTGGAATACATATTTTTTAATATGTCATTAAAAACTAGTTGAAGTTCCCCATTTAATGTTCTTTCTAAATCTAATAGTTTCTGGGATACCAATGGTGGCACGTTAAGTTGTTCATCCTGCATAGATAAGCTGTTTTGTTAAGTCAGGATAATTTATTTAAAGCCCAATGATAAGGAACCCTGAGTTGGTAGAGAGATTGGGTGCACTCTGAATCACACACCGAGATTGTGCTGGTTGACTCCAAATAGAAATAGGATAAAAAGAAAACAATGAAAGAAAGTCACAAAACATCCTGTATTATAGAGTAAAACAGATTTAAAAAAAACCACTGATAAAAAACTTCCAGCTTAATAAAACATCAATGAAAGTGCTGGCGTTTCTATTTTGTAGTTCGTTAGATATTAGTAATGCACAAATACATGATCACGCACAAACAATACACAGGTGATCACTGATAGTAGATAAAATAATGTAGAATATATTCTCAGCAAGCACATTATTGTAGTTTACCCTTTTTAAGAAATCTGTCCAGAGTATGTGCCGATTATTTTAATTAATCTTATTGTTGAAATATTGTAAGCATTTTTATATTTATTGGTGATCCGGAGGCTGTTGCTTATTTACACGATGATGATCCTAAGAAAGTGTATAATTTAATTAAATTATTATAGTGGAAGTTAATTAGGTTACAAGACTATGCCAATTAAAGACTGATGTTAACTCGTTCCCCACACACAGGCAGGGCCGTCCGAAGGGGGGGGCAAGTTGCCCCGGGCGCCGTGGCTGATGGGGCGCCGCGCAGCGGCTATTTGTATTAACATAATATTAAAATATGCGAATGTGACTATTACTGCTGGGGGGAGGGGGCGCCACGACCACGTTTGCTCCGGGCGCCGCCAACCCTAGGGTCGCCCTGCACACAGGCTTTTCTATGTCCCCCTACCCATTTTCAAAAATTATGTACATTCTGTGATAATTTTTTTTTTTTTTATGATAAATTGCTTTTGATTTAATTAAATTTTCTTATTGTATCTTACAGGACAGATTCCATTAAACAGTTTGCAGTGCTCGAGGTTAATTTAGCGACTTCAAACAAAAACATTTAATTGTAGTTTGAATGAAAACTAGTTTACATTAGTATGTAGGTACAACTAGTCGTATGTTCAACCAGACATAGGATAGGTAAAGGTTGATGTAGGTTCAACTAGTCGTAGGTACAATTAGTCGTGGATACAACTAGACGCAAACTTATAAGGTAAAACTTGACGCTAGCGTACCTGTCAAGTTGAACCTGTAAACTCACCTTACAATATTCATTTAGGCTAGGCATATTCTATAAATGTTTAAAGTTAATAAGTTGACAAAGATATATGAATTACAAAAGGTGTTTTATTTAAACAAATGAACAATTAACATGCAATGAGAAAAGGCTTGACGTTACAATGAAAGGATTGACAATGGTGTGTGGGGTTGAAATTAAATTGAAATAAAAGATAAATTTGAATAATAACTTGAAGGTTCAAATATTTTAGATGTGATATATCTCAGGGTAGGGTGTCGTGCTGGCTTGAATGCTAATAATTAATAAATTTAATAGTGTCCAAATAGGCCTAATTAAGGTGTTAAACTTATAAATCCCAACAATGAAAAATCTAATTTTGATGTTGTCCAAAAGGTAAGTCCAATTAGCACTGAATTAAAAGAGTTTAAAGGCCAGTGGTATAGCCAGGAAAAATCTATTTTCGCCATAATATGAGTACAAACTTTTGAAAATTTAACATGGGCCTTATGAGAAAACATTCCGCCATTATTGTCATTTTGTTTACATTTTAAGACATAACGTGACGTTCTGTACCCAGCTCAGCTTGTGCATGCGCAGACAGCTCTTGAAGCACTTTCCGAGGATATGTCGCATATGTTTACACAGACCAAAAGGAAATAACAATGTGTATATACAGAGCAAAAGAAATGAACAATCAGATTATACCATTGAGCATATTATACTACAACTGAAAAACCAATTTCTGTCAATGTCGAGTACGGTAGTTAAATTAATGAGAGGATGGAATAATCTTTAATTAGCTTTAACTCATACACCTCCTTTTATATTTATGTGGTAGCAGATTTGTGCTTAATTTATTTTGATTAGATTAAAGGTATGTGCAATCCTAAAATGCTATGGGAAGGGAGGAAAACAGGTCGGTGACTTAGAAAGAGGTGAAAAAAAGTAGTCAAGGCGAGTAGTGCGAAGTGTAGGAACTGTTTATGACGATTAGATTAAGGTACTGTATCTGAAATCCTAAAATGCTATAGGAAGGGAGGGAAACAGGTCCACAACGTAGGAAGTGGTGAAGGAAGTAGTCAAGGCGAGCTGTCCGGAGTGTGGGAACTGTTTATGACGATTAGATTAAGGTATTTGCAATCTTAAAAAAGCTATGGGAAGGGAGGAAAACAGGTCCGCGACGTAGGAAGGGGTGAAGGAAGTAGTCAAGAGTAGTCTGGAGTGTGGGAACTGTTTATGGCGATTAGGTTAAGGTATCTGCAATCCTAAAATGCTATGGGAAGGGAGGGAAACAGGTCCGTGACGTAGGAAGTGGTGAAGGAAGTAGTCAAGGTGAGCTGTCTGGAGTGTGGGAACTGTTTATGACGATTAGATTAATGTATTAGCAATACTAAAATGCTATGGGAAGGGGGGGAAACAGGTCCGTGACGTAGGAAATGGTGAGGGAAATAGTCAATCCGAGCTGTCCGGAGTGTGGGAACTGTTTGTGACGATTAGACTAAGGCATCTGTAATCTTAAAATGGAATGGAAAAGTAAAGGCGAGTAGTCTGGAGTGTGGGAACTGTTTATGACGATTAGATTAAGGTGTCTGCAATCCTGAAATGCTATGGGAAGGGTGGAAAACAGGTCCACTACGTAAGAAGTGGTGAAGGAAGTACAAGTAGTAAGGGTGAAAGTACAGATCCACGATGTTGGGAAAAGGTGATGGAAGTAGTAAAGGCGAGCACTGTGGAGTTTGGGAATGGATTTATGTATCTGCAATACTAAGACTGCTTTCAGAGTAAACTAATGATTTTCCCCGAGCAAAGCTCGGTCCCCAGGTACTTAATGATTAATTAAACAGATTAATGAAATTATATAAATCAGGAAAATGAATATTAGGCCAGCCTTTCTGAGGAGTGATTATTAACAAAGGTATATGAACAAAAGTTAACATTTTAAGAAACTTAATACTAAATAATGAATTAAATGACATGAAATATTACAATTTATCTCATCAGAAATTTGTATGATATGGAATGAAAGACAAATTTCTAATGAATATGAAATGGAATTCATGAATCATTTAGTATGAATCATATTTAAAGCTAGTTATGGGTCACGTTAAATGATTGATATTATTGGATGATGATGATTAGAAACTTAATCTAAATTTACATAAACACAGGAACTAAACATAAATGGGGAAATTAGTGAGGGTTAAGATAGTTCATGACCTGACACAGGGGAATAGCAATGGAAGCAATGTTAAAGATATGTTCTCACAATTTTCACTTGGGAAATGGGGAAAGGGTACACGCACTCGCGATTAAGGTTCATGACGATCTCCTCTAATATAATTTGTAACACTCGATGATCATGGATTGAATAGAGGATTTTATTTACACGATATTTTGAGAGTTTATGTCGCTGAGATCTTCTTCGCCATTTGCCATCTCCTCTTCTATGATTGGTTCTATGTATCGTTTTAAAGCAGATATATGATATGGTCCGAGTAAAATATCTTTATTCTCTCTTGTTACATGATACGTGGATTTGACCAGGAGGGTTATATGAGCGTTATTAGCGCATTGATACCATTGACAGCAGAAACACTTTCCAAACTTCAAGAGCGGATGGTTTGAAATTTCAAAAATACGCTCCAACGCACACTGCCAAGACGGTGGCGTCGTCCTGTAATCCAGCTACTTGGAGGATGGTGGATATTTATAGGCATGATCTGTGGATGCGATAGTCCCTGGCGTGGATTAACGTCCACACTAGTGAGTACTAGGACTATCTGCAGAACTATTGTGATAATTAGACCAATTCGTAAAATTACAAGACAAAAATGTGGTTCAGATTCCACTATAAACTGTAGGTCCCTTAGTTGCCATTAGCTGAATGTGCTATTAATGTGCTTAATGTGTTAAACAGCTGTGTCTAAGCTAAGGAATATGTCGGCCTAGTCACTAACAAGGTAACAAGACTACAAGATCACGCCACTCATCCTACACTCGTCCTTCACTCATATTTGGGTTAAAATATGCACATAGTGGCGTCCCCATATTAAATAATTGATATATAATCTTCAACCATAATCTTGTGTTCATTGGCTTGTTATGATAGTGTATGTGTTGCATGTTCTAGAAAGAAGGATAGTTTAGGACTGAAGCAATGGATTCTTTCTCAAACATGAATGAACCTGATGGGATAAAAGGTTACTGAATGAAAGAGCACAAGAGTTATTAGCAACTTTACTGCTGCTGAGTACGCTTGCGCCACCTGACCGGGAGCTTTCAACTTGAGCATTATTAGCAACACTAGCAGCAGCAGAAACACTTTCTGAGTGACAACAGCGGCTGGTTTGAAATTTTAAAATACGCTTACAACGCACATTGCCAAAGTGTCCCTCCATTACGGACGCTTTTATACTTATACATTAGTTTGAAGTTTCGTAGCTTCCACCGCGTTGTTTCTGTTGCCCACATAAGACGGAGCCTAACGCAACCAGACACGAAGCATCAAAACGTGCTGCCGATTATAATAGGACAAGAATTCTACTTTATTTATCTAGTCAAAAAACAAGAACATAAACCAAACCTACTGGGCTAATTGAAAAATGGAACAAATAATTCTTTATCATTTATTTACAAATACCTTAAAAATATCTTATAAACATAAAACTGCTTTTATCACAGTTCAATAAAAACAATATACAAATTCACTAAAATCTACAAAAATACAGGGTTTATTAGAATAAAAATGTTTCCTTTTGATATACAAAATAAACAATATAATCGTTTCTGTACATTAAATCAACAAAACTATTTAAAACACACCTTAGTTATACAAACATGTATTTTGACAGATAGTACACATTTTTGTGTAGTTGAAATTGAATCCCATAACATCACTTCCAGATCACAACACTGCAAACCACACATTTTTCACAAATAAATAAACCTGTTAAATCATGTTAAAAACATAAAAGTAAAATAACAACAAAATTTTTAAAAAATCTTCCATAATTTTAAAAATATCACCAAATAAATAAGTCTTTTGGCTTGTTTTTTCAGTAGTGCCATTTTGTCATTTAATAACGAACAGATATTCAACACGAAACATTTTCAAAAGTATTACAGTTACAGTATAGCAAAACATGAAAATGGTTTACTCAAAGTATGTAAAACAAAACTATGTTAAAAAGTAAAATCAAAATTACTATAACAGTGAAAAAACCACTGCTAAATAGTTTTAAGTAGCACCACTTCAAACATTAAATTCATTCTCAAAATATTTACTCTAACGAATGACTCTACGAGGTATGTCTTAACATAATTATCTTACCCAGCTTAAAATATTTGTATATACAAAATTTATTCATTCAAATTTTAAACAAATGAGTGAATTCATTACAGTGTACAAAGCATGTAATTTCTTGTATTGGCACAAGTTATTTTTATGAGAAAAAATTAATTTGATAACCTAATAAAATCTTATTTTGCATGGTATCATGATTAACAACTTGTTAAAATGTCAATTGTAAGTAGATTTAATCAAACGGATCCACATAATTTTATAATATAATTTGGACTTTGGATTCCACAGTGTGTAATTTTTTTTATTTTTTGTAAGTTTCCAGAATTAATAATTTGTTTGTTTGTATGCATAATTGCATATACACCAGTGTCCAGTGGAATGGTTAGAAAAAGTTGTTATACATGTGAACACTTTATGCCATAAAATAAATTTCAAACATGTTCACTTTTTTACTATATTTTTACTCCAAACTCTAACTTTTACTAATTTTGTACTCCAAACTCTAACCACTTTATGATCCCCTATCTAAGTTAAATCAATCACATATTCTAGCACATATTTATACTGCATTCAAACTTTCTGGGGAAACACATAACATGCTATGAAAAAATATTGATTTGTAAGATAGCAGAACTTGTTTAAAATTTCTAACAATTGAAAAGTATTTCTTTAATAATAATTAAAGCGATGATTGCTATGATAGAATTTAAAATAGTAATCTTTGTCCATAATTCAATCTTAAATAATTTAAAAAATAACATTTAAAAATCCTAGGGCAAAACTCTACTTACAATAACTCCAGAAAACAATTAAAATTCTTACATTTGAGTATTTGATACTCAAATTAATAAGTTAATTACAAAATTATGTTAATATCAGAATAATGATTATTTCTCTTGTAATTCAAATTGCTAAAAAGTAACAACATTCATCTGCAGATAGGTTGCACATCTGAAGGACTAGAAGCTGATGTTTGAAGTTTCGGTGTGTTTGCGAGACTTTTCGCTCGTTCTCGTCGAGTTCGGGTTAATATTCTGTGTCCGGGACAGTCCTGGTTTTCGAGGTAGCATTTCGCTTTACAGCAGGCCTTGCACAAACTGTATTCACATTTCAGGCCCTGTTGTAAAACATAGAGGGTTAAAACACTATAAGTTCTCAGAGAACTATATCAAAATTTAGAAAATATAGACATAAGTAAGGAGCAGAAGTAAAGATGGAACCTTAGAATGGACATATTCTAAGAAAATATTGAAGTTTCTTACCAAGGAATGTTTATCCAAACTTCTGAGAAAGCAGACCACCAGTTACCAAACAATTAGTTTTGTTAACAAGATTACATTTTACCAATTTACCAATATAACCAACTGAAGTTTTTTAACTAATTTTCTAAGCCGTTCATGAAATCATCTTTAATCTGGAACTAAAACTAAATCATATTTTAGAAAGAGATAGGAAAAATATTTATACGTTTTCCTCGTTGTTTAAAAATTAAATTTTTATTGAATCAAGGATACAAGTTTTCAAAGTTTTCTTATGACAAAATTCATTGAAAGACCTTTTGCTTGTTCATTTTCTTGGATGGTTTGAACAAACTGTAAAAAAAAGTTAAATTCAAACACTTTACTTAAAAAAAATATATTATTTTAAAAAGTATTTTTTTAAATTGTAAAAAATCTCATAAGCCTCCCATAAATCTCTTATGTTTTTTTTATCCAGCCTTTGACAGACAATAGTCAGAGTTGAGTCTGCAAAGAATTTGATTCACGCTGTCATCACGATTGCGGAGGACGAATATGGTTTTCCACAATCGCGGGCGACGATGATGATATCTATAAGACCGAAGAGCATATTCAAGATTCTGCCGCAGTCACAAGAAAATATTACAATGTGTCCATGACCGCAAGAGACAAATATGATGAATTCAAGACCGAAGAGAATATTCAAATTTTGCCGCAATTACAAGAAGAGATTACGTTGTTTCTGTGACCACTGGAGACGATTATCATTTCTAAAATAAGCTAATGCAGAAGTTTTCCAAGATTTTGGTGCGACCGAAGAAAAGGATGTTGAGTTACGATGACCGCGGGAGACAATCATCATATCTACACAACCGTGGGAGATTTTTAAGATATGGCCTACCATTATGATGTCTACAGGACCACGGAAGATGAGCAAAATTATGCCGCAATTGCGTAAAACAATGAAAATGTTTCTGTAACTGCAGGAGACGATGAAGATGATGACTACACGACCGCGAGAGAGGTTATGGATTTAGCTGCAATCACGGCTTCTGCATACTTTCAAACGATTCTTATTAAGGTAGTTTCAAGTTTTTTAATATTTCTGTAAATTATTCGAACAATCGGCAATCTGGATAGTTGGTGTTTGGATACCAGTTCAGCACCACAGACTGTTGGCCCAAGACAGCGATAACGTGGGTTCGGTTACTGGTTACCTGCTACTACTTTTTATCAATACAGTTCACCCTTGTACTTTACCGGCTCACCCCTTGCTTTGCTGGATATGTCCCACACACAGACCTTTTTAGCCTGACAAATTCAAGATAAAAAAGGCTGCCAACCTCTAAAAAATGTTCGAAAAATGTAAAAAATATTTATCAAGAGGAGCTTAAAAAAGACTGAGCAGCCTAAATTGTCAAATATCCTAGGAGCAGAGAAAAAAAAACAAACTTGCAGCTTACCACGGGGTTGGGGCACTCTCTGCACTTCTCAAACACTTTCCTGCAGTGAGGATTTTCTGATGACCGTTTCTGCATCTTTTTGAGTTTCTTTTTGCTCAAATATCGCTCTGAGCTACTCTCTCGTTTTGTTCTTTTCAGTCCAGAAGACAGATTGTTATTCTGGAACAAAAATTAAAGAAAAGGATAAATCGCGATTGAAGACATGGATACGTTTTCAAGCACTTTAGGTTTACAGTCTGTAGAAATTGGTTTACATTTCCAAACGATACCATTGACTAAAATGAAGGATTAACACAGTTTAAACTAAAATTCAGTATTTATAGACTTTTATTTTATTACAAAAGTATCACATTCAATTATACACAGTAAGAAAAAAAAAATACTATACAGGTCACATTTTCCTTACTAAATCCAAAGAGAAGTAAGGCACAGAGAAAACTTGCAAATGCAGGGTGTCCACCAGGCCAACCAGAAAAAAATCATGAGTAAAAAAAGTATGCCAGGTAGTTCGGGTGGTATTTTTTATACTAAAATTTCCAATGTGTTTTGAGCCAACTCCCGCAATGCTGTTTTAGCGCTAACACAGCTCACTATTTTAGTTATCGGAAAGAGCATTCTCAGGTAAAGAAACAAAATTTATGATTGCCGTAATGTTTCCTGACACAAGTATTCAATTTTTATACATTACTGATCGAATAATCCGAAAATTAAAAATCAATCCTTAAACCGTGGTCGTTACAAAATCCTGATATTGTTCAGCGGTAACAGAAACAATATAATCGTCTCCCGCGATCACAGTAAAGTTATTATCATCTTTCTTGAACGTAGCTTAATTCAAATAATTTTCCGCGGTCATAATCCTCACAGCAATTTGTTTTGGACATCATCATCGTTTCCTGCGGTCACGGAAACGTCATCGTCCGCATGCGCGATCGCGGCAAAATCACTAACATATCCAGCTGCCGTTTGGACATTATCATCGTATCACGCGGTACCGGAAACGTCATCGTCGTCTCCCACGGTCACGAAAACGTCATCATCGTCTTCCGCTGTCACGGAAATGTCATCGTCGTATCCCGTGGTCACGGAAACGTCATCGTCGTTATGCGCGATCACGGCAAAATCACTAAAAAATCCCACGGCAGTTTGGACATCATCGTCTCCCGTGGTCACGGAAACGTCATCGTCATATCTCCCGCGGTCACGGAAACATCATTGTCTGCACCCACGGTCACGGAAATGTCATCGTCGACTCCCACAGTAACGGAAACGTAATCGTCGTATCCCGCGGTCACGGAGTCATCATCATCTCCCGCAATCATGGAAACATCATTGTCTGCACCCGTGGTCACGGAAACGTAATCGTCGTCTCCCGCGGTCACGGAAACGTCATCGTCGTATCCTGCGGTCACGGAAACGTCATCTTCATGCGCGATCGCGGCAAATTGAAAATTCCCGGTAAAATACAAAATTCACGCATAATTCCCCGTTTTTTCCCGGTCCAAAAAAATCTTGCATAATTCCCGGTTCTCCCGGTTTTCCCGGTCAGTGGACACCCTGTAATAGGACTACTATAGGCTTTAAGCTCTGGTATGTTATGAAGAGTCAATACTTGTGACAAGCAAGGAATAACACGAGCGGTGAGCGCTGTGCACATCGCAGGGCACAGGGTATTCCTCAACCGTAAACATTGTAGTACATGAATGCGAGAGGGATGGTGTTGAGTTGGACTTTGCTCTAGATAACCTTAGTGTTCATTGAATGTTTCCTCTGTACCTTACTTATCTGTGCTAAATCTTACACAAAACCTTTGCTATCATTAAAGACCAACAATTGCCCTGGACGGCCTTCTGACTAGATTCAACCCACATTTGATTTAACGGTAGCATTGTTGGGTCCTGCCTTACAAAATGAGTATTTTTTTTTTAGAAAAGTCATAATTTTTTTAGTGGACGGTCATCAAACTCTAGCTATTGTCAAATCAACTATATTAATCATCCCTTAAACAATGTTTCACAAATATACGTGCTCGTAAGTGGGTAGAAGGGGGTATCACATAACTCCTAACTTCTAAACAACATAAGCCGTACTAGTGTGTATGACTGATCAGTGATCAGCAATAAATCTTTAGCAATACGGTCTATTCACTTACTTGACTACAGAAAACATCGAGTCCTGTAATCCTACCTCCTTTTCATCCGCATCCTTAGACTCCTCTTCCCTACTCCTCTGCAGACTCACTGCCTCCTCCATCTTCTTCAGATGATCCTCCGGAGGCATCCTCTCTCGAACCTGACACACCCAAGGAGGTAAGTCTAAGTTGTAGCCTGGAAAACAACATGCATTACTTAAGATGCAGCTAACGTGCTTAAGCATTAAAATATACCCTATTTTAGAGTTACCACTAGAATATAGTGCAACGTGGTATCCCCGGAACTGCAATAATGACTAAATAAATATCTTACTACCTGTCATGCAGTTTGTTTCAGCGAGATGCCATCGTCAGATGCCTCAGTCCAGGGAATGAATACATTGAATCTGCTTGATTAACTTCGTTGGACAGACCCACATTCAAAACATTACACATAAAGATATGACATAGAAATAAATACTTTTTAGTTTTTGTAAAGATATATGCCCATCCCGGAAACACAACATTGCTGGTGCGCATATGAGTATGGATCAGGTGTTGAATGTGTGTCCGTAAAAGAGTAAGAATTTAATCGTGATTTGTCGGTGGATATGAACAACCAGTGCTTACACAACACCAGCGTCCCATAATTTGATGGCACAACATCACTTCCAGCTGTGTTTATGTCCATTTATAAATATTCCATCATGATTTTTAATATAAACTCTATAACAGAAAATGTCAGATCCGCCTAAACTATTTTTATATTATATCAACGGTCAAAGAGCTAACTATCTAATACCTAACCTACATGTGAACTTACCAGTGTATTCCTGAGTATATAACTGTCTACCCTCATGAATGGGTTCATAAATTTCTCTTAATTTCTCTACAACTTCTTTGAATTCCGAGACACTGGGTCCTTTGGCGAGCAGCTCCCGAATTTCAAAATTACTTGGTATACTCAGGCTGGAAAACAAAAAACAAAACAAATGAAGATTTTTTAATGTACTTAATATAGTGAAACATTATTGTCGGCCAGAAAAAAGTCTCAAGACTGGCATTGCATGCAAGAGTTTTAAATGAACAGCAAATGGTTCATAATCAAATGATTCATGGGAGTAAAGGGCTAAATTAAATTTTGATGGGTAACAAACTATGTTAATTTAGTTTATTAAGTTAGCTATAATGACGTCAACATTTTTGGGACTTTGATTAGCTATGTGATTGAGTTTTAAAACAGAGTTTTTCTTGGACCAAAATGTATCTGAAATTGAGGGAAACACAGAAATTGGTCTCTGACACCAATGAGAATGTATTGGACTAGCCAAGTTGCACCCACTAGACCGCTTGTTCATAAACTTTACAACTGATAAAAAGTTGATTTTGTAATAGCTGCTAACAATGTGATGGGAAATCTATACTTTCTGTTTGAAGAGAGCCAATGTCTATTGAATCATTTTATCAATTAAAGGATATTAATGCAGAAAAATTGTTTTTACCGAAAACCTTTGCATAAGTGGCAGAAAAGTTGTTTCCACTGATGAACGAGCGCAAATGACTCGCTCCATGACAAATATCGAAAACATTGAGCAAATGTTCATGACCTCCAGACTTCCTCTACCCCTTATGCACATTTTCAAAGTACAAACACACTTCTACATTCACATCTGTCAATGGAAGTGAAAATAAGAAGAAATCTTAGATGACAGAAAGCTAATCAGAGATGTGAGGAAAAAATGACAATTACACCAAGAATTCATAACATTTTAAAGAGACCTTAATTTACAAACATCTCTTGTCACTAAAACTAATTTAAAACAACAATTTGAGGTTAAGAATGCAACATAGAGCACAAAGGCCTGGGTTACTATGATTTTTTGTGAGGATGGCAGGCTTACCTGAATGGGAAAGAGCAAGGCAACACTAAATAAACAGGCCGTAATGCTCCTCTGGCATGAAGTCATCATAGGCGACGGCAATGACGTAATGTTTGCAGTTTGTGATCAGCTTCTTGTTTTAATCTTTCCTTGGACAACAAAAATATAACTTAAAAAAATTACATTACGTCATTGCCGTCGCCTATGATGACGTCATGCCTGAGGAGCATTATATCCTGTTTATTTAGTGTGGCATTGGAAAGAGTCCAAACTAGTGACAGTGAAATATTCAAATATAATGTGAATGTAATGTAAAGCCTTGTGTCTCTTGTGCCATTTCCCATTCAGGTAGACTGATAACCTCCCTAAAGTCCGAATAATGAAAACATTTTTTTTTTATTTTACATTTTATTTAGGAGGAAAACTTTACTGTTGAGTTCTGAACAAATCAAGAGTAATTAGTTTTTGAATCCTTACTCACCACTCGTGGAAGATTTTGAAGAGGTGACCCCTGACGAATGACGTGGGGCAGGGATACTGATCAACTAAGGCGAGGTATTCACTAGCTATCTCATATACTGGAGGATTGCGGCCCTCGAACAGGCAAGGGTTATAAAGATTGCCTTCCGCAGTCATCACCCCTTCACATCCGATCTGGGCCAGACAACGCTCCACGTCAGCCAGCGTCTGAATGTTGCCATTGGCTATCACTGGGATATTCACGCTTTCCCTGTAACAGAGAAAGTTGTATGAGGTTATATGTCTGGGAAGCCAAGTGAGTATGGTGCTTGCCTTAAAATCTGGTGGCTGATTATTTAGTTTCTTGAGCAGAATAGATTTTGGATCCAGTTGCCCTAGCAATCCAAGCAAGCTTAAGCCCTTTCAATTGTTGATCGTTGCACCATTGATTTTAGTAATGATTTTCTCGATAGTGGAAGCTGCAAGGCATTATAAGCAGAGGTTTAATCTTGTTTTAACTCAGGTACCAACTTTTCACTGCGTTCGCTGAAAACAACGTACAGGGGCTCCCCAGTGGCGGGCGAAATCCCGGCGAGTTCCAGCAACGAAATCCCAGAAATCCCAGCGAACGCAATTAGCATTCAAATATTTCAGTCTGACGAATCACAAAAAAGCAGTGGTGATTGTGCTGAATTACCCAGAGAGTGGACGTAGTTCACTGAAACACCCACAGGTAGCAGCACTGCCTGGATCCGTAGCCAGTGTCTTTGTAATGTGGCTTGAAGAGAGAAAATCCCCGAAACTGGGACTAAAGCATTGCCAGACAGGATTTTACGGGAAATTTTAGTACCAACCTAATCCAAAATAAAGCTCGCATTCTAAGCTACAGGCTGGTAACGATCTGAGGTTAAGCTCACACTGACTAAATACATTTCAGTTGGTCTGGTGCCGACTTTTGTTTTGAAGCGCTAGCGACTAAAGTCAGCGTTGGCAGTCAACGTGTTAACAAGCAGTCAAACTTGTTAAACATTAATAACCATAACATAGACATAACTGAATGCACGACCTTGAGTTTGCACAGCCTGCCATCTAACGAGCTAAACACGAATTACACGTTACCCACTGCCGTTTAATACTACTAGCACTATTTCCATATCAAGTCACAAGCTTTCCGAACTGTTTTTCTATTTTTTTTATCTCAGCAGCAAGTGTTTTTCGTTTGACGAACCATGAAGAAAGCGCTACCTACTTTTCATGGAGAAAATTTGCTAACAAGTGTGTGGTGAAAAATTAACATAATATTTTATTATGAGAAATAGATGAAAAAGCATCCCCGCAAAATGTAAACCAATAAATTGTAGAAATCCTCAATGAAATGGGACAGAACAAAACAAAAAAACACAAAAATGTATGAAAACCTAACTTGTTAATTAGGAAAATATAAACAGCTTAAAAACTAAACGTAGCATGAGAAGTATGACATGGTTAACAGGTATCACATCATTAGTCAAACACTTGGAGAGCTTGAGGAGAATACTCCCCCCCTCTCTCTCTCTCTCTCTTGCAATTCTCCCTCTCCTAAGCCCCCCTCCCCTGACATCAAGTCATTGAAATTCAATGATTCACCACCATCAAAGCAAACACCAATCAATGCCTTCTTGACTTTATAAAGTTACAAGATAAGAGCAATTGGATGGTGTTTTGGAAGCTCTGGAGATTTTGTTGGCTGGATCTCAAGTATATTTCATGGATCAATTTTGTTTGAGGACAAGTTTTTAAATTACTTGTGTGTTTTTTGGGGTTTTTACAGATTCAAATCTGGTTGAATGTGAATCCATCTTTTTATTTTGGATAAGTTTTTGAGGAAGAGGTGTATCCCGAGTTGAAATGTACCTCTGAGAAAAACCAAATAGTCCAGGACTTTATTATTCTCACGTTAAATAAAGTTTAAATTTGCTTGAATTGTACACTAACTGCTTAAGTTATTTATCAACTAATACAACCATTATTTATGGACAAAATATAGGTGGATATTATTTGTATCTCAATCATAGAACAATATTTTTAACTCGTACGTGAAAAAGCGTGCGGGTTGCGCGCGACTGCGGCTCAATAAAAAAAAATAATAAAACTTCTGCTATGATGAGAATGAACAAAATAAAATCCGTAGCACACTAACCTGATGCCTTAGGACTATACTAGGAACGGGGGGAAATCTTCAACAGACCAGAATTTATTACGTTAGGACTGTTGGATTTATCTCCAAACAGCAAGCGTGTCTCGACGGTTCGGTAGCGGGTGGACAACTGACCATGAGGTCTGCTCTTCTGGTCCTTCTTCGCCATCGCCCCTGGCGGCGGGGTAGGTAACTAAGTATCCCCTCTACGATGACGTAGGACCCTTGCCCCTACGATGCCGCTGACAACGCGGGTGCGGCTTATCCCGAACGTAAAAAATTATAATACTTAAAATAAAACTTTAAAAAATCGGGTTTTTACCCCTTGACGGATTTTGGGTCGTTACAATTTGAAGATATGATATTGACAATATAATGGGGATTGGGTTAACATCTACAGGCTATATAAATAATCATAGTGAAGTGAAGATCTTCTAGCCAAATAACAAATTGTGGCTACTTGTTGTGAGCCAAGTGCTGTTGTTGTGAATTAAGTAGAACAAAGTTTGTATAAAACTTTATCAACTTGTTACTTTTATCCTGCTTAATCAAGGTCGTCATAAATTATTGTACACATTTTAAGATTGAACTAGTGTACATGTTGCTCGAATTCGAGCAATTGGAAAGTATTACAGGAGTTATTTCAAAACGAATAACAGTCATATTTACAATGAGTTTAAAAGAGTCAACTCAAAGATTACCGGAGTGTAACTGAGACCATGTTTATCTTCGTTATTGATAAACCTAAAGCATTCCAGCCGGTTTTCTCCTTCTCAAAATGCCTCGCTGTACAGGCAACACAGGTTATTGAGGGCCAATTGAGAACGAAAAGTCGTTTTGGGGTAGTGTTAGGGCGCATTTGTAACTTGATAGTTGAGATTGTCCAGGGTCAGGTGCTGACTGTGATGAGTTTTAAGCCTATTACGCGCCACTGTTCTGTAGCTGTGGTCGTTATCACGGTTACGCCTCCTGTCTATGTTTCGTTGCCGTCGCGTCGGGGACATTTAAAAGAAAAACAACAAATAAACAAATTATAGCTACATAAAACAACGATAAACGCACAAATTTAAGTTACAATCATACTAACACGATCCGTCTTGGGGGTTATGTTTACACAAACTCAAATAGTAAATAAATGTACTCAATGCGTTTCATTGAATTGAAAAATAAATACCAGCAATTAAATTATACAGCTGATCAAAATATAAACAATTATGTTCTCCATAAGGATAACACGGGAACTTTCAAAGCCACTGGGGCAGAGCCCAAGGGACGTTTTCAAAAATGTAAGGCCAGTTTGCAAATCTACGCGACACGCTCTTTCCAATGAGACGCCAATGGATAAAATCGGTTAAGAAATGGCGGAGGAGTTCAACTGACAAAGTTTCATGTTGCGTATTAATTATACAGGGTGGCTGAAAAGTAACTTGCACCCCCCCTTAACTTTTCAACCATTTGAGATATTTGAAATCGGTTTGCGGCAACCTTCTTAGATATGAGGGGCTACAATAATTATGGTCAATTTTGAAAATTTTTCCTTTAGGGGAACCGGGGGTAGGGGGTAGCTCAAAATTTTCAAATGACAAGTATAGTCGAGTTTGGTATCATTTTACAGGTCTTGACGAAACACAAAAATTTACATAAAGAAAACCAAAATCGGCTCACTAATAACAAAATGGCGTCCTAAAACGTTTCAAATCCAAATAACCATGAGGGTGGCAAAAAAAATTACTTGCACCCTCATTAACTTGTTAACTATTTGAGATATTTGAAATCGGTTTGCGGCAACTTGTTTGGATATGAAGGGCTACAATAATTATGGTAAGTTTTGAAAATTTTGCCCTTAGGGGTAGCGGGGGTAGGGGGTAGCTCAAAATTTTCAAATAGCAAGTATAGTCGAGTTTGGTATCATTTTGTAGGTCTTGACAAAACATAACAATAACCATAAAGGAAATAGAAATCGGACCATTAATAACAAAATGGCAGTTCAAAATTACTTTAAATAACCATTGTCTCAATCATTTTTAGCTGCCATTTTGTTATTAATGGTCAGATTTCTATTTCCTTTATGGTTATTGTTATGTTTTGTCAAGACCTACAAAATGATACCAAACTCGACTATACTTGCTATTTGAAAATTTTGAGCTACCCCCTACCCCCGCTACCCCTAAGGGCAAAATTTTCAAAACTTACCATAATTATTGTAGCCCTTCATATCCAAACAAGTTGCCGCAAACCGATTTCAAATATCTCAAATAGTTAAAAAGTTAATGAGTGTGCAAGTAAATTTTTTTGCCACCCTCATGGTTATTTGGATTTGAAACGTTTTAGGGCGCCATTTTGTTATTAGTGAGCCGATTTTGGTTTTCTTTATGTCAATTTTTATGTTTCGTCAAGACCTGTAAAACGATACCAAACTCGACTATACTTGTCATTAGAAAATTTTGAGCTACCCCCTACCCCCGCTACCCCTAAGGGCAAAATTTTCAAAATTGACCATAATTATTGTAGCCCCTCATATCTAAGAAGGTTGCCGCAAACCGATTTCAAATATCTCAAATGGTTGAAAAGTTAAGGGGGGGTGCAAGTTACTTTTCAGCCACCCTGTATAGATAAATAAATAACCAAGCAGCTTAGAAACATGGGAATTATTTAATTAAATAGCAAATTTAAAGCAGTTTTATTCAGTAACTGCAAACAAAACAATTATAAAAAGTAATTTTAAAAAGTCTGTAAAAAACACTTGAACTGTTATTGGTAAGTTATACTTAGGTGAAGACTTTTTCGACTATATGTTAAACACTTCCCGTTTGTTGAAACTGCCTGTACCACCATTTTATAGAATTGTTACTCAGAGAATTACGACCATACTCTAAGCGGAGCTTTCATCGAACAGTTAGGACAGTTACAGATGTGCTTTCAAGAAACCAAAGAACACAATTTGCTTTTTCTTGTACATTAGTAATTTTGATACTGAGGTTAGTATAATGTTTGATTTGTCAAATGTCATACTCAGCTGGTGTAAAAAGGTCCATTGTTGGCCAGCTGACTCACAACACAGTCATTGAGGAGAAAACATATCTAACACATTTTTATAATTACAGACATTTTTAATATTGCTATTTAATCAAACAATTCCCATGTTTCTAAGTTTTTTGGTAATCTAGTTATTTAATCTTAAAATAAAATGTATCTAACAATTTATGACCATCCTGTATTTTTCAATGTGTTACAGGAATATTCAATTTTACATTTTAACTAGCCAGATGCAAATTTTAAACAAAAGTTTGAAACACTCGCTAAAGGTTGAACTCACTCCCTTGTAAATTTATTATTCTTATCGTCTGAAGACAGGTTCTTAATTTATACAGACACCTCTGTCAGACCAATGTTTTTCATAGAATTCCTTCTTAAGAAAGAAGATTGATAGAAAAAATTTGATGAAATTAACACACTCTAGATGGTGGTACGGTCCAGGGATGGCAAAGCAATAGTGGTGAATCAAAACCAAAATCGACACATTGGATAAGAGATTTTAGCAGCATTCTTGATCCTCCGCAACAATCCTGACATCGTAAACACGTTCGCTGCGGCACGTCAAATGGCGGGCGTATCCCTAGTGCAGCGCAGCCCGCAGCGTCGAACAAACCCAATTGCCACGTGTGATTGACTTTCCTATTTCGGTCTGAGGAATAGCAAATAACGTGCGAGGATGTCCTGCTTAACGATGAGAGTCGACGTAGTTCGCTGAACACCCACAGATAGCAGCACTGCTTGGAACGTAGCCGGTCCCATTGGAATTGTAGTGCCAAATGGAGGGGAAAAAGACGGGACAAAAAGTTGATTTTCAAGCTTGCCAGACGGGGATTTTACGGGGAAATTTACTACCAACCTACACCACAACAAAATGCAAGTCACACACTACACGCTAACGTGGTATAGGTCCGCTTTCGACCGACGCTAAAGAAAAAAGAAGATATACAAAAGGCATTGCCGAGCGTTCCCGATCGGGTACAGACGCACTCAACGTGTTAAAATCACCCTACTGAATTTAAAACACACATAAAATTGACTTCAGATCATACATAAGGATAGCCTTCTTTCACTATCTAAAGTCGATACTTATTCTTATTCTCACAAACCCACCTGACAGCCTTGATATGGTCCCAGCTGGCCAGTCCTGTGAGAGGACCTCGCTGTTCACGCGTACGTCCGTGCACTGTCAACATAGCACATCCAGCTGTCTCCAACATCCGTGCGTACGCTATTGTACGTTCCACACTCTCGAACACTCTCACCTTACATGTGATTGGCACACTTACCCCCTGGGAGAGCGTTCTTACTGGAAAAAAACCAAAAAAATTAGTCTAAGTTATATCTTCATTGTTAAGTACTGTTCAAAGTTGAAAGTTTTTCTTTCAACAAACTATTTTAGAAAAAATCCACTGCCACAAGCACATCAAAATAAAAAATCTTTAGAATGTGTTTTGGTTCAACGTGCTAAATTTATCAGAAAAAGTTTATTCAGTTTTGCACTAGTTAACAAATTTCCCTATAGAGAGGTAGCTATTACCGTAGGTGGCACGGTAAGAACTAGACCCGGTAACAATTTACATTTTCATTTTGATGTACCTAGAGGCAAAAAACAAGTATTCGTCCAAATGTTTATGTATGAAGCAGGTCTGCTTCCTGTACTGCCCATGGCAATATTCTGATAGGCCATCATTGTTTTTTTTGTTTAGTGTTCAAATGTGTTTTATTTATTCTGACAACACATCAAGTGGATCCTTTTGTCAGCCTGACGATGGCAGAGTTAGATAAATAACCACCAAAACATATGTAGCATTGAGACTACAACATGTCAAGGATTGAATGACGAGGTACGTTTAGCCATTATTTGTCAGTATTTTCAGTCAGAGACAGAGGTTATCAACATAGTCCTTAAAGTAGAACTAAGCTGGGATTCAAATTACAGTTATTCAATAAATTAAATAATCTAAGGATGGTCGAAGGATAAAAACTAAATTTGCCAAGGAAACACCTCAGTTTCCTGTGAAAAAAACTTCTCAAACTTGATTCTATAAATCGGATTTCCAACAAGGAAGAAAACTACTTAAGCAATCCAGAAGTTTATTTGAAAATTGACAAAGTTTGTTGTAAGAGGGGAGTTTTTTGTGAGTCCCTTATTGTTAAAATCTAATTTGGGCTCCAATCTTCACTGCAAAAACATCTGCATTCATTTGATACAAATCTCCTATAATATTGAAATAAAAAATAAATATCGATTGCATTGGATGTATTTAAACATTATTTTAACATTTTATTATACTTAATACTTGCTACTTACTATTTTACTTTATTATCTTACTATACTATGCAGACCTGGACACTACAAATATGATTAACTGACATTTGTAAATGCCACTCTGTCAAGTCTAAATATATCACTGTGACATTCTAATTTTCTTTTGTAAATTCAAGGAAAAGTAATTTCCATGAATAAATTGCATACCTTGTGTTCCCAAGGACTTGTGAATATACATAAAATAATATACATAAGAAAACTTGAATTCATGACATAATCAAGAGAGTATTTTGATTAGTAGTTGATAGTTTTATAGAAACATAACGTTGTATAGAGGATAATATGTTTGACAAAATGTAGACCAAGAAAGTTATTGGTTTTTAAAACTTTGGAAAAGAATAATTTTGTTTGCCTAGCTGTAGAACAAAGTAGGTTTTTTTCTACAAGAAAATGTAAGGAAGTATTTTGTTTGATATAGGATAAAGATGCATATTTTTCAAAAACTTTGGAATAAAGGAGGAATTTGTTTCCTAAACTGTAGGGAAAAAAGAGGTTTGCCTAACTAGTAACTGTAGTATAAAGAAGACTTTTGGTCAACAAAATGAAGGATAACAACCATACTATTTCACTTTGGTATAAAGAAGCACTTTATTTGCTAAACTGTACAAAAGGAAGAAACTTGTAAGACAAACTATAGGATGGCGAAGGAGCCAAAACAATGGAAACAAAGTAAAATTCAGAATCCAAACTATAATTTCAAATTCAACTTTTCAGACAAACTACGGAATAAGTTAGATTTTGTAAATGGAAGCCAGCAGCTTTTTTCCCAGAGCTAGGCTCTAGTCCAGTATTGTTTTTCACATTACTTCAGGCTAGTTGTAGAGGTTGCAGCACTCACATAACATCCATTGGTGATTTGGCAGAATTTGAACCCGAGACCTCATTGATTTGCACTCACTAGCCCAGCTCGCTCCCCAATACACTAAGAGTAGATGAGTTTACAGTATTTCTATTACAAGTTACCTATATTGGAAAGTAGTTGCCAGTCGTCCTGTAGGAAGGCCCCGTAGTGACCCTTTCTGGCAATGGCCTGAGGACAGCCGAGGTTTATGTCAATGGCATCACAGTGAGCCTCGGCCAACTTGGCTGCCTCCAGCATTATCTCCGGGTTGTTGCCACAGAACTGTGAACAAGAATTTAATATTCATTTTAGTTGGAATAGCCCTGCCGCTGCATATCTGCAAACTTAGCGAATTTCCTGATTGAATTTTTACTTTATACATTTCCTTATATATTATATATATCATATTCATTCCCTATTCGAAGAACATAAATTGAACATTTTATCAAAATCCATAAAAGGCATTCTACAACAGTTTACTTATTTTCGACAAGAATAACATGGTAATTTTAAATTTACGACTTTTTGGGAAATTTGTTATGGGCCAAATGGTTAAAACTAATTTTACCCTGAAAACCCCCGAGGAAACCCCGTTCCTATAGTCTGGTCATGCTGGTTTGTGAACTTGTTTGACTTAACTTGTTAACTTAGTTTACAAGTTAGTCCTAGTGCCAAATTTGATCAAAATCGGATGATTTTTATTCAAGTTATCATGCTATTTGAATATTTGATCCATATATACTGGCTGGGTATCTGAGAAGTTATAGTGCTTGCCTAACAATCAAAAGGACACCAGTTTGATCCTGAGAAAAGTCAGTAGCTTATTGATGATTTGAAACTGGACCCAGCTGTTCCTGAATAAATTATGCTGGTTAATGAAACAGCTGATCTAAGTCAGTAACAAAGTTACACAGATCATCTCACACCATTCTTCACTGATCCTTCACTCATATTTAGGTTAAAATACGCACCTAGGTTGCGTCCCCATCTCAATGATTTGATAATTGATAATTAATATGTGTAGTTGGTATACATTAATATGTGAACTCTGGCATATTTTTTTTAATACTTGTAATGTCAAACTTTGGCCGCAATCGGCAAAAACTATGACAATATTCAGTTACCGCCGAGGTTATTCAGGGTTTTGCCGCGATTGCAGAAAATGATGATGATGTCCCGTTACTGCGAGGGTTATTCAGGGTTATGCCATGACCACGGGAGACAATGACGATGTGAGGGAGGGGGGGGGGGGGGGGGTTTCACCTTTAATCTCGCCCCCTCTAAATCTAAAGCTGGATCCACCACTGGATGATTAACCAACTTTTGACCAACAGTAGTTTAAGCAACATTACCTGGACAATAAGTGGTTTATCCTCTGGTGTAGACTGTAGGTTGACCTCCCGATACCTCGGGTGGTTCACAAACACATTGCTGTGCAGCATGGGAGTGTAGCAGAGATGTGCGCCATGTCTGCGACTCAGCAAGCGCCACGCTAGCTCGCTGGCGTCGACCATCGGCGCCACCACATAGCGGGGTCGACCCAACGTCTCCCATACATTGGACATTCTGTGAAACATCGAAAAAATAAAATCTGGTTAAATTATAATATCATTATAATTTTACCATTTAAATAGTAGAAGATTTCTCAGCCCATTAAGAATTCTGATGAAAAATTCAATGCTTGATTTGATGTTTGTGAAATTGATTAAAGGGGGTTCTCAGATTTTTGGGTGTGTTTTACGATTTGTGCTTTACTTTTTGGATGGTAACATCTGTAGAGGCTGTTTTGTTTGGATTCTTACTTTAAACTTAAATTGTTTAACCAATTGGCATGCCTCCTGCATACATAATACAAAATTCTAATAAGAAACTAAATAAAAAAAAAAAAAAACAACTAAAAACTAATAAGAAAGAAGGTTCAATTTTTAAACCCATGGATGCTTAAAACTCATCATAGCATGTCCCAAAAACCAAAAATATTGTAAAGATTACTTACAACTCCAATGCCATACTAATGTACAACTAAGCCACAATAATATGTAACTTATGTTCTAAAAAACTTCAATAAAGTAAAATCAAATTGATCACCTGGTAGTGTTGTTGACATTTGTACACACACAAGTCTCTCGGTTAGACAACAAAAATAACAAGGCAACAACAACAACAGCTCTACAGCTGTTATGACCACATGTACACTGCATAATTAACAACTGTTACATAACTTGGTTTGATAAGTCTAGTAAGTGGTGTATAGAAACACAACGAACACATGTAGGCCTAGGGTTATTTTATGCAAATTTATTTATTATGCCATTGGTTTAAAATAGAAAAATATTATATTTTATGATTATTTTTCCTATTTGAAATAATTTTGTATTTTTTATAGGAAGGGTTCCACTGTTTGTTTTGCTAAAAGTATACGTTTGATTGTGTTATGATTTATACTTCTTTAAATTAAATTTTTTAGTAGTGGATCGCAGAAATAGTAGTGAAGTATTAGCATATGACTTTTGAATATATAAGTAGATATTGCCATGGATAAAACATATTCCCTTAGTAGATTTCTCATCCTTATAGAACAGTTGAAGCCAGTTTTATTTTTAGTTCTGTCCAGTACACTGTAGAGGTCTTGTTTTGTTTACAATTGTTTCTGGTTATTTCTGTCATTTATAGCCTCGTTTAACCAAATAAAACAACGATATAATCATAAACAATAACTCGTCCACTAGTTATATCACCAAACAGTAAAGCACAAATCATGAAATTAGCCCTAAAATAATAGAAACAAATTTTTTTACACTGACGATCAGTGTCACCAGACATAAACTAGACACAAAAAACGAGCTTCAAAATTTACAAGGGGATGAAAAGTCTACTACTTGTGTTGGTTAGACTGGGACGGTGGCATTGTCCTGTAATCCAGCGACTAGGAAGTTACGAATTGTGGATAGGCATGCACTGTGGATGTGATACTCCCTGGTGTGGATTAACGTCCGTACTAGTGAGTACTACGACTATCCGCAGTACTATCCTGATAATTAGACCAATTCGTTAATAGTCAAAGCCAAAGATATTAGCAATTAACATTGAGTTAAGATGCAATCTGTTTTTAGAAATCACTTTGCTCTTAAATACAATTATTTAAAAATGTTTAGTAAACAATTGTTATTGCATTAAAATATCTGAGGTTGAAACATTTATCCCTGCTTTATCACTTGCAGATACAATAAACACCATATGTTAACAGTTATCAATACACTGACAACAGTGAATGGTAGTATGGTACTGCATAAACTCACAACAGATTACCTTGGTTTTATGAAACATGTAGATGATCATAAAATAAAAATGATTGCACAAATGGCGACACATGTTACAGTGCTGAGTGTTAGAGTGTCAGTTGTGGTGATATATTTACATGAATCATTGGTTTGGACAGTGAGGAAACAAAATGACACCAACAGTGTTTTTTATTCAATGTGCTGAGCATTGTTAAATGTATTGACTTTTTTGGAAGAGGTTGAGTTGAACATTTGTTTACTCTTGGTTGAGTCGGACGTTAGTGAACTAAGTTACCTCTTGGTTATAGCTATTGGTTTTAATTTAAGGTATAGAAAGCTTAATGGAAAGTTAGAAACAACTTAAAGAATGATAACATGTATATAAATGGAGGCAATAACAATTAAAAGTGAATGATAAACAAATAAATATATTATTCATAATAATTATTCTATACAAATTAAATGTAATGTAATTACAATTAATTTTTTGTTAGCAAATTTCCTATATAAGGAATAAGCTATTACCATAGGTCTCATGGTAAGACCTAAGCCGGGACTGATTTACTTTTTTGTTTTGAGTTCCCCAGAGGCCAAATCGAGCAAAAATGATCCGATTTTTATTTTGGTACAAACGTGTAAACCTACGTTTATCCCAACGAGTTTTCTGTTCGAGTTCGGACTGTGGGAACAGGGGGTTTTATGGGGTAAAAATTGATTTTCCCATTTCCCCCCAAAAAAAATTCTTAATTTCTCTCCAAACCATTTTGTAGAGCTTAAAAAAAGAATTAATTTTGTATTGAAGGGTTGTTGTATGCTCAATGGTTACGGAGATATATAAAACATTGTAAATTTAAAATTCCCATGTTATTCTTATGGAGAATAAATAAACTGTTGTAGTTTGCTTGTTTATGGATATATTTTAACCAAATTTGGAAATTTGGATTATTTCATATTAAGCTATCAACATTGCAATATAAAACACACCCCAATACCTTCCCTGTGGCAGCAAACCTAAGTACTCACTAAAATTAATGTTTTTTAAATAGGAAATAAATCCGATAATTTTTAGATACCGGTAATATGTTAGTAGAAATCCAAATGTAAATTCGCTTAGTCTGCAGGTTTGCTGTGGCAGGTGTATTTTATATTGTAAAGTTTATAATTAAACTGTAATTTCTTATAAACTTGGGATTGAAGGGGAAGAGGGATGGAAAGTAAGATATCCTAGGGAGAAAATTACTGTAATAATTAATTATTCCCCTAAGGGTCAATGTAGGGGATCAAGGGGGACATAATGAAAGGGATATTGGACTACTTTACATTATACTGAGTAACAAATTTTATTTTGAAGTTTAGCATAGGAGTAAAATTGTATAATTTTAAGGTTTTTTGTCCACTTTTAGCAAGAAAATTTTTATAATTACAGGGATATTGCTTTGATGAAAAAACTGGCAAATAGTTAAATGTGAGCAAATGTTTTTTGTGTGTTATGATACAATATACACTTTCAAGTCTTAAACAAAAGTGAAAGTGTATGAATACAGTGTTTTATTTATAGAAATTTTATTTATCAGAACTAAAAAAAAATTCTAAGAGCTATGCTTATTTCTTCTTCCTTGACTATTTTTATAAAAAATATTTTGTTGTATAATTTATACCCTCCCCTATGGACAGTGTTGTATACCTCAACTAAGAATAAAAAATTAAATTCATACAAATAGTCATTAGACAAAATTATAATCAGAAAATAAACATTTAACGGTATCTAAAATAAAACTGCGCTGATACTATAGATATTTAAATTTAATTCTTTATCCTTTTTTATGTGTGCACATAAAAACTTGGATAGTGGGCTAAGCATAGGTGGTTAGTACCTTTATGGCAATTCATTAGTTTGAATTTGTCTGTTGGTTTTCTTAATTTATTTCTTTTGTTAATTGAACCCATACCTAAAATCAAAATACCTATATATTAATAGGCAAGCATGTTTCTTTAAAACCTTTTTTCTCAATTAGTGTGCATTGCTGGGCAAATCAACGCATACTTTTGGAAAGATATTTTCCTGTAGATGTACAGAATCAATCCCTTTATAAATTAAATAGACTACTCGAAAATAAGTTAAAAAATAAATTTAAAATAAAAAAAAATATCATGGGTCTTATGGGTTGCCATGCTGGTGACGAAATAATGACGAAATATGAACAGAAAATCAAAGCAAATGGAAGAATCTCCAATCACATGTTTTATTCACAGCATGGGGTGAAAATAGACAGGTCTGTACATTACATATTTCTGGTTGAGTTTTCGACCAATGTACGATCTCTAGTACTATATAAATAGGTACTGTATAATTTAAGGCTATGAAAAAAGTATCTTCAAATTTAACTGTTAAATCATGTTTGACAGTTACATGGGAAAATAATTAATTGTTTTCTCAAGTGGGAAATGGTATATTTCTTTCTAACAATAACAAGTTTTACTTACAAATATTAATCTGTGGGGTCTGACTTAGGGGAGGTACGAATGAGGCATTAGTTCAAAATTCCTCCGTGAACAGCGCTGTAGTAGAGAGTACTTTGGCAAAGAAGGTTTACTAATCGCAAAAATAGTTCTGTTCATAAAATAAAATTATAAATGCCTCAAATTCAATTTTATTATTTTTTAATTATAAAATTAAACTATCATAACCTAACCGAACTAACCAAACTTGCTGATAATGAAATAATATAACAAAAGTTTATTAATAGAAAAAATAATTCTGTTTATTAAATAAAACTAGAAATTGCTCTACTAAAATTTTATAATGACTTAATAATAAAATTAAACTGTCATAACCGAACCAAACCAACCAAACTTGCTGATAATAAAAAAATCTTGGACAAAAAGTTAATGCCACGAGCGGGATTTGAACCCGGGACCTTCAGCATATCAGCCCGGCACGCTAACCATTAGGCCACCGAGGCCGATGATTACAGATCGTTTTGTTACGGTAATGGCGTTCACTCAGCTAATAAGAAGCCCACAGCTGTCATCGTATCCTCTTCTATACCTCCCCTGAGTAAATACCTTAATCTGTGCCTTCAATATTTATGAAAGGTACAACACAAACATAAATTATAAGTAACACTTAGTGAAAATAACAAATCATGACTAGTATATGAGACCATGTACTAAGCGACACAAAACAATAACACTGAAAGAAACCACTCAGAAAATTGTCTTTTGCAAATGTTCCACTCAAACAAGATAAAGTAAGCTAACTCCAAAGACTAAATGAAAGGAGGGGAGTTAAAAGACTGCATGGCGTGTTGAACCCCTTATTTCTATTCATCCCTTTTGCTAATTGTAATTATCTTTCAACATAGAATCGTTTTTTATGTGAGTGGTTAAAATAATAACTATTTTATTTAATACCACTGTTCTATACATTTTAAAACTTAGTTGTCAAGAAATTGTATACTGTTATCTATTTTTCTATATTAGAGGAATACCAGCTTACGTAAAATTAAATTTATTGATTTTAGATTCGCCTATTGGGTATGATGTTGATTGGAGTGTCCAATCAAAATCGATCACAACTGATCATCTTTTACATGTATTTACCACAATGTGAGTCAACAGTACAAGTTTAAATGAATGTTTAAATTATTAGATGTAGTTTTATTTATTTTCCGTAGTAAATAGAACAGAAGTACTTAATTAGAAATCAAAATTTTCCCTGTTTTATGAAAATATTTACAAATATTTGATGAGATAAGAAGATACATAGTTACATATGCTACAGAAAATATTCTAAGTAAAAAAGTGGATTTTAATAAATTTTGTACACATGGTTGTTTAACCGACAAGTTTCCACTCTCTCTTAAAAATTAATAAATTTATGTTATGTATGAAACTTTATGTGGAAAACTTTTTATAGTACCTACTATTATTGACTAAAAACTATAACATACATATTAATGGGAGTAACCATTTTTACGATGTTCAAATGAAGAATATGACCCCTTATATAAATGCAGGTATTCGAAAAGTACCTATACTATTTTTCCCAAATAATTTTCGTAGTTCTCCATCCTTCTTTTCAGCGTAAAAACACGAGCGTTTATTAAACAGAATATTTTATTAATAGCCTACAACTGAACTATCAAAATATTGAATTTTGTAACAAAAACATTTGCTGAGTTACAGCTTGTAAAGTTTTTATCATTGAAGTACTCAACACAGCCTCCCCTTATGTTCTCCCTGAAACGGTTGATTTGATTCCCAATCAAACCCCCCAACCCCCAAATTCAACCCCCCCCCCCAATCAACCCCGGATACCACATAGACCCTGGGGCAGCCTAACTAACCTTACCAAACATGATGCTGAGAGGGATGGGGAGATGATTCAAATTCAGTTGGGAATAAGGTTCTGGGAATAGCTTACTTCTCATTAAGTTAGAAAGTTTTAAAGTGTTAGTAGTAAAATTAAGAGGTAGGCCTATTATTATTTGCAAATGTGTGATTTGTTGAGGTGTTTGTTTGATGATTCATGAAATTACTTTAAATTTATATCAATAATAAGAGAATGACTTATTTTCAATTGTTAAAAAGTCAAGTTTATACATAACTTTTACAATGAATACACTTGTACACTTATGAACTTGTACATAGAATAAGGATATAGAGAATTACCTTTGTATTTGAACAAACAGATAAACTAAAAGCATCAAACCCAATAGACTGTTTGAGATATCACTGCAAATCCTATCGCAGTAAAAAAGAAAATAATCAAAACATAATTTGAATTTCATTGGTTGCTCTCAAACGTTATTACCACAGTTGCCAATATATTTTTTTATTTGTATCTATACAAATATCGGTTAAGTAATTCCATTGACTTTTAGATCCTGTAGACATCCCATCTATATGTACTAGCTTTTGCCAATTCTTTTATTTAAAAAAATAACATAGTTCTGTGAGCCACAAGATTGTGATAGTGTCTAAAATTATATTTATCTGCCTTATTCTTTGTTACTAAGATAGTTGACGTGACTTAAAATTGCTATAGCTGACAGGTATGACTTGGTTCAAAAGTTATATGTTCGACAGAAAATTTACATTTGAGTATTCTGGCCCCTGGCCCACTTTAACTAGGCTAGACCTCATTTTGATTTATAAACTGAAGACAACTTTAACATGGGGGATGGAATGTATAGTTCTGTCAATAGGCAAAGGTAATACTTAGGTAGCTGATTTACGAAATTAAATAAGTTATCATATAATCAGCAAAATTCTACAAAATGCAAAAGGCCTACCATAAAAATAATCGTGACTGGCTGGTAATTACCCATCCTGACATTCTTAAATTGAAATATATTTCAAGTTTGACACCAGTTCAATTTCCTAAATTCAATTTTTGAGAACAATAATTATGAGCTAACATCAAAAGTTTGCACTTTAGAAAATACTACTTTCGTTGAATTGTTCAAAGGTTAATACAATTCCCGAGCTACAATATTTCAAGTCTCAATACCAGATAATTGAACTAAAAATGCAATATAAGTATTTAGACCTATTTACTGTTTTGTATGAAGGTCAGATTATTTTAATGGTATTAGGCAATCCAGAAAAACAATTAGTAATTGTGAGATAATGGATACATTTACTGTACTTTTTTAAAAATGTTGGGGTTCTTTCAACTCAAATAAAATACAAGGGTTTATATAGAGGGTTACACTCCTTGAAAACGCAATCCCACAAACAATTAATTACGTTCTTACGTCCCTTCAGCCTTAAACATGGAAAGGAAAGGGATGAGGAAAACGAAGAGAGCAGTGAAGAGATCAGTTAGGACGCAACTATATCACAAAGGAATTCTACATTAATTTAATATTGAAATGTTTTATAATTACAACTTTTCTGAGAAATTTTCTAAAGCTGACACTGTAAATACCATTACATAAATTCTAATGAAACTAGTATTTACGATCTAAAATGTAAGCTCGCTATTTCAAAACTTACCCTAGTTTACAAGATAAGTCTTTTCTGGTCTGGTACCCACCTGAAAATAAAAAAAACTTGATATAGGTACAAAAAAATACAATGCACAAAAAACTAATATAACCAGTTTGCGTGGTATTTATACTGTGTGGTTCAGGAAACTCCAAATCAAAATAGTTTTTATCTTAGAAAGTTATTGACCCGTTACATATTTATGTACAGAAAATAATTAAAAAGAATTTTGTTTCTTTTAAACAGTAATGGATTTTTGTTTTTTAACGGAAGAACTTGTTATGCTGAAATAGTATTTTCTTACATTAATGAAGAAAATGAACGAATAAGTTTAGCAAACGTGTGTAATTTATAAGGTGAATCAAATGTTTGTTTCTTTTTAACGGAAATGTTTTTTTGTCTTTTAAGAGTTTAAGTTCTTGTTTTAACTGCAACAGAGTTTTTACTTAGATAAATAAATAAAATTAACGATTAAGTTTAGCAGACGTGTGTAACTTATAAGGTATTCAAATTAACAACATATATACTAACTTGTCTTTCTTAAATTAAAGTTTTATAGAAGAGTCTTGACATCACTGAGTGTATTTGTTACATGTGAAGTGAGCATGGAGAGTTCTTCATTCGAGAGCTATTGTTGAAAGAGAAAAGGAGTTGGATCGATGAGAAATTGGGGCACAGCAGGAGGAGAAAATTATCTTGGAAATGAAAAATGAGAAGTTGGACAGTTTGCAAACTTTTTACTTCGAAAATACTTCGACATTTTTATGTCAGTGAAAGTTTTTAAACGATAACAAATTAGCTGACGATTAAGTTTTTATGATTGAGAATTATATCAAATAATTAAGTAATTTTTGGTTCGAGAACTGTTTAAATTAAATGTAAAAATTAGAGCTACCACCAAAAAATTTTAACATCAAACTTCACAAACATAAAATTATGAGCGGTAAACATTTTTGCCAAAAACCTGATATTTTGTGCTTGCGCAAAAGAAAATGGTGTTTCTATATTTTTGAACATAAGTGGATTTGAGGTAGGCTACATTGTGTCATTCAGATGTGTGGATTGGTTTTAACTTGTTCAGAATGTCATTGTTAGAATATTCAAAACGTAAGGATAAATTACTGGAGTATTGGACAACAATTATTTAAACAACTTAAAACTGACTAAAAACTTTTTTGTTTTACTTTTTTTACTTTTTTGTTTTAACTTAAAACTTAAAACAATTTAAACTTAAAACTGATTTAACACTTACTTTAATCACACAAATTTGACGAATATTTATATAATTGAACTAAAAGTCAACATTGGGTGATTAAATCAACGTTTTGGAAAAAAAAACCAATCACCTTAAATTGGCAACAATGGAATTCGTGGATCCAGTGAATTTCCAGCCTATGTAAAAAACAAATTCTCTACCAATTAATTGAAGTTATTACTTTTAAGTATCTAACATAAATATAGTATATTTTGACAAAAGATAAACAATGGAAAAGTATTTGAAAGCTAGCGAGCAAGTTTTTACGAAGTTTAAAAAGCTTGAAATGAGTTGCCGAAATTCTTTTAACTAAGAAAAAACTAAACGAGATACTTTTGCTCATTTCCTGAACTCTCAAGTTTGTTATAAAATGATTTTACTTTAACGTCAAAAACGAACAAATCCAATATCCTCTTAAGATTAAATGACTTTGTAATTATAACTCTTGAACTTAACGAGCTCCATTCTGATAATTGGATAATGAAGACCGAGCTAATTGGATCTCATTAACTGCTGGACTTTGGCTCAGCACAGATCCTTGGGCCCTTAATGTGATATTATATTGCTACTGGATTCATTTATTCGTGCATGGGAACCTTTTATCGATGGAATAAATTCGAAGTGTAAATGAATATTTGCACTGTTGAAGAATAGCAGAAATGTATCTAGATTTGTTTACATTTTAATTGTTTAACCTTCAATAAATGTCTGCCTGATGTTGCTGAAGATTCATATAATTTTCTATGACTGTCTAAGTTAATATTACTAGCCAACAACTGATTTGGAGAAAGAATCTTGTCCGTGTCCGTAAAAATGGCTTTATCTATAACTTTTCCTTGTGCAATGCTAAATGAAAGATGTGACATTGCTTCTGCTAAGGTAAGCTATCAAACATGTCATATTCCCTATTATGTTAACTTTGCACCCCAAAAGAACTTAAAATAATCCAGCTGCAGCAAACCTGCAGACTAAGCAAATTTCTTTTTGCCTGATTAGATTTTCACTCATAATGGGTGTCATATTTATTAAAATTCGTAAAAAATTAAAATAGGATTTTAATGAGTAAATTATAGTTTGCAGCTACAAGACAGGAAAAAAGGTGTTTTAAAATGTGACTAGTAGTATTAAATAAATAAATTTACAAAATTTTTATTAAAACATAAGTTAACTATGTTACTATACAATTAAAATAGTTATTTTATATGTACAGTGTTTTTTTTCGCCGTATCCCTCTTTAGTAAAACAACGCTTCAATGTACAACTTTATTTATTTTTCGAGTTCTACACAACGGCAATAATTAAAATTGAAAACCTTACATTTTAAGGGTAACAGTTGAAAAAAAATTAATATCTTGAAACCTTAAGCCGTTTCTATGACCCGATCTTGCGGTTTGGCAAACTCACTGTTTATCTAACCTTATACAACCATGTTTCTATGGTGAAATGTGTTTGTCTTGACCTAAGCTATAACACTATACATGTGTCCAGAGAGCTTCGGGATACCCTGTATATTCTTGCCAAATGTCATCAAAATCAATCCGAAATCGCGGTCCAGTACTGCAATAGCTCATTACACTAAAAATCTGATTTAGGGAATAATAACACAACTTATTTAATTTGGACGTAAATATCCATAAGGATATTTGTACAGCAAAAAACATATCGAATTGAAACAGTCATGCTGTATGTGCTCCAGATATACAGTAATAACTAGCTGTAACCCGCGGGCTTTGCCCCGTTTAACTTCTTAATTTTCAAGATTATCTCGTTCGCATGGCTCAATCACGTCCTGGTTGAAGTTTGTTCGCTACGCTCACTCACCTTTAGGTTGGAGCTCGTTCGCTACTCTCACTCACCTTTAGGTTGGAGCTCGTTCGCTACGCTCACTCACCTTTAGGTTGGAGCTCGTTCGCTGCGCTCACTTGCCTTCAGGTTAGCTCGTTCGCTACGCTAACTCGCCTCCAGGTTGAAGTTCGTTCACTACGCTCACTCACCTTTTGGTTGCAAATTAGCTGTTGTCATAAATGTAAAAGAAATAATAGTGCTGCACCCTGTTGGTAATCCTTGTAACTTTAATGCTATTGAACATCATAGAACAGAACCAACTTGTTTAATTGAAACAGCTGTTAAGATTCAATAATTCCATTTCTCATAAGGTTAACATGGGAAACTCCAGAGCCACTGGGGCGGAGCCCGAAAGGATTTTTGAAATAATAATATACCTATATGTTAATCGGGAATGTGAGCTATCATCATGCCAAATTTCAGCCCAATCCGACCAGTATTTTTTGAGTTTACTTTTCCCATACACACATACACACATACAGCAACCACCTCTTTTTTATAATAGTACTAGCAGAGTACCCGTCCTTCGTACGGGGTTGGCATATAAGTATCAAATGCTTATAGCAGTTATGAGTGAGGACATGGTTTAAGAAATTTCGGTTCTTTTTGAAGTTCGTTCGCTACGCTCACTCACCTTTAGGTTGGAGCTCGTTCGCTGCGCTCACTTTCCTTCAGGTTAGCTCGTTCGCTACGCTCACTTGCCTTCAGGTTAGCTCGTTCGCTACGCTCACTCGCCTCCAGGTTGAAGTTCGTTCGCTACGCTCACTCACCTTTTGGTTGCAAATTAGCTGTTGTCATAAATGTAAAAGAAATAATGCTAGTGCTGCACCCTGTTGGTAATCCTTGTAACTTTAATGCTATTGAAAATCATAGAACAGAACCAACTTGTTTAATTGAAACAGCTGTTAAGATTCATTAATTCCATTTCTCATAAGGTTAACATGGGAACCTTTGCTCCAGAGCCACTGGGGCGGAGCCCGGAAGGATTTTTGGGATAAAAATATGCCTATATGTTAATCGGGAATATGAGCTATCATCATGCCGAATTTCAGCCCGATCCGACCAGTAGTTTTCGCGTTTACTTTTCCCATACACACAGACACCACCTCTTTCTTATAATAGTATAGATAGATTGTACAGTTGTAACTACTTTTGTTTCTGTTCTTCTTCTAAGAATCTCAGCTTGTACAATACTGTCAGATAATAAGTTTTTCTAATTTCAAGAGGCTTGTTATGCTCTGATGTATAAATTGAGGAATTACAAAAGTCTATTAATCTACCCTATCCCAGGAGGTCCCCTCGTTTTAATATCAGGAGGATCCCCTTAATTCCTGGAGCGTAATTAATTCAGCCAATAATTACTTGCCCCCTCCCCCCCTTCTACAACGCTAAGGTATAGTACAAAGGGTGTTCCGAATATACATCGAAATCATAGGAATAAAGGTTCGTTTACATCTTAATGTTTCAATCAGATGCAATAGAATACTATTGTGGATGCATATGGGAGGAAATGTTTATGATTTCGTGTTTCAACCTTTGTGTAATCTTATATTAATTTAAGGAAATAATAATTATGAATGTGAACATAATTTTGTAAAACAGTAATATAAAAAATAACTTGCTGGTATTTTCAAAACTTGTTCTAATATAATCTGGATACTCTAATGAGGAAAATTAAATAAGATTTGTTATCAAGTTTGACATGTTATCGAGGTTTGCAATAATATGTAAATAGGGATAAAATAGATTTAAGGGAACTTTAAAATTACACTTGTTATCCAGAAAGACTTGTTATCGAGGTTCCACTGTAAATTTCTATGGCAACTGAAGATTAACATCTCAAAGACTAATTATAATTGTTAGTGGTAAACATTATTTAATAAAATTAAGATTGGGCAATTATTGTAGATATTTGTGTATATATATATACGAATTTTGAAGCGGCTAGT